TTTTTTTTTTTTTTTTTTTTTTTTTTTTTTTTTTTTTTTTTTTTTTTTTTTTTTTTTTTTTTTTGCCTTTCTTTATGTTGGAGCTGTTTATTTTTGTGGTGTTTTGTTGTTGGGTGAGGGTGGCTGTTGCTACTTAGAGAACTACCCTTTTGTTGATTATTAGAAAATATAGGTTTCAAGTATCCCCAATCCAAAAGCCTAAGCTAATAGGTTAAGGTAGAGTCTTATATCAATACTTCCAACTCTCCTTTACACGGGTTGGATTTTAGTACAAAATCCAACAAGTGGTGATTGGTATTAATTGGGAGAAAATGACATTACAAATTTGTGAACATAGAATCTCCTACTATGATATTATGGTAAATCCGCACTCCACAAAAACTTAATCTAATGGGCTGTGATAATTTAATCTTTTACTTTAACAATGTAGCAAACTTTTACTGGCAAGAAGTAATGGAGTCTAGAGGAGTAAACACTTGATTTGCTCATTCTAACTTTTCTCTGCATTACTCAAGTAAGAGATTTAGTTCGCAATTTCTCATAAACATGGAGGAAGAACTCTTCATCTGGTCCCAAAGTTACATTATAAGCTTTTAATTCCATTCTTTTCATCCTAACGTAAAAATAGATTTACAACATTTCTTTTACAAAAGGCAATTGACATGTAGCTGGAAGGTTTTCTGATGTCAATGGGGGAACTTTATAACGTTTGCTGACGACGGAACAATTTGACACAAATCTTAATGAACAAATCAATTTTAAAAAATACTAGGGACCAATGTGAAAATTATTTGTTAGAGTGGCTTGATCAAGCTAGAAGTGTATATTATTTTAAATGACATTGATAGTGGGGTTCTTATGCATTCTTATTACCTGTGTCCCTGTATAACTTTATGAACAGAGGTGCACGACAATCAATCAAAGATGGTGGAGGATTAAGTGCGTTAGAAAGAGCAATGGAAATGGGATCAATTACCGATGATGAGCTATTTCTTTTGCTTACAGGATCCGAATAAAGCATATGGACACTTTTGATTTATCATTAATATTAACACCATTGTTTATTGTGTAACTTAGTGTATTCCTTTTTCTGTTAATCGAATCTAAAGATTTGTTGAGCTATTTTTCAAAAGACCTAAAGTTTTGTAATTATTGTTAACTTCTGCTATCTCTTCATTGTTGATGATGATAAGAATAATTTATTAATTTCCAGTGAAGATGCTATCTCTGGACAAAAATTCTCAATTTGGTATGGTTCTTCTTTCTTCTCGATTTTTGGATCCACAATAATTGTAAGAATAATCTGAGTAAATAGATGATAAACCATCTTCAAGAAGTTTGACAAATTTCCTTGTAAACTGATCCATGGTCATTATCAAGAAGAAAAGAGAATCGAACTCTCCACATTCTCTTTCCAACGTTTTAACAACTCTTCTTCTCGTTATGGTTCTTGTTTATGTTTTCAATTCCACTCTTGAAATTGCTGGAATTTTTTCAAGAAGGAGCTGGATTACCAGATTATTCTCAGTCTTGCCCGTCGTTGAATTGAAGCATGGCAAAAGGAAACAAAGTTTTAAATGGTTCTTTGAACTTATAACTTCGACACCATGAAATTTTAATTCTTCTTGCAAGAGAACTCTCTATGCTTTTCACATATTTACATATTTACATATTTTTGTGTACGGATGCAGTGTTAACTCCCTCGACTGAGATGAACTCGATCACTTGACCCCACCCAGTAATTCACATCTCGTGTACGCCATAAGCATGAACCAAAGAAACGTAATATCTAAGATAGTCATCAATCAAATATTGACAACCATATGCCTATTTATTTTGTTCTAACATATTTATGTGAATATATGTAATTATGTTGTTCTCCTTTATTTTCTATACTACTACAAAAAAAAATATATATATATATATATATGCATTCTTTTTGTTTACATTTATTTTTTTTAAAATTAATATGCGTTATTAATAATGGATTGTGAACTGAGTTCTTTGATAAGCAAGATGTTACGGTAATATATTAAAAGATAACATTTTATATAACTGAGAAAATACACGAGAATCGAGCTTCTTCTAGTCTACATGAGGATACTTATTTAGTTTATAGAAAATCCTCACAAACATAGAGAACCATAGGTAATAAGTACAAACATACCCATCAAGTCTAGAAGATTATGTAGACTGGGAGCAAAACACAACTAAGACGCAGCATACTCAATCGTATTATAATATGAATGAGAGATGAAACTCACATAGAAACATATAGAGGTTTATTTATCTTTAAGGTGAGATCCAATGTCTTTGATCAAGTTGTTCAAGAATTCAACGTACTTGTCAGGATCAGGATCAGGAGAGTTATGATCAAGTTTCCCATATTTCATGCGCAAAATTACCGAGCTAAGCTTAAGTCCTTTTGGTATAACTTGAAAAATGACGTCAAAGGCCTTGTAATACTTGAACACATCTCCTCCCACTCCAATCATGGATATGAGTAGGTTGTCATCATCGAATTCCTCTCGTTCTTTGTAAATTTCAGCTTTACCATCTTAGCCAACCACATAGCAAAACAAGAGGAGATGAATGGTTCAGAATATGGTATAAAAGAAGTGAAAAGAAAAGTGAGTATGTATGTATGTAGGCATACCGACTGTGTAATACCAGAACTTGATGGAATCATGAACTTCAACTTTCTGGATGGACTGAGAAATATTTGGGAGATTGAAGGAATGGTGTGTGAAGATGTTGTAGAATTCAGTTGCAGCTGCCTTTATTTCTACTTCCCTCGAAAGCTCTTCAACAAGAGGCATGGTTTCAGGACTATCCTATGTGTAGCTTGATTGCCTTACTCAAACAAACCCACAAACAACCATGCCCCATGCCTTCCCCTATTTATACGCCCACTCCTCAACTCTTCTTTCTTGCTCTTCAGGTATCCTGCACGTTGCTTCCAATTAAGACAAAAAAGTAGCTGCTTTTTCGAATAACTTCTTAATTTTTTTTTAAAAAAGAACATTTCTTTAGAACATTACAGAAACAAATGTACGAGGTGGAGGTAGAGAAACAGAAACGTTACATTCGTATGAATTTATTAGGCAAACTCATATAGGCCTCTAGGTTTAGCTATAGGCTAGTGCATATTCACGCGGTTGAAAACTAACGAAAAGAAAGGAACACATATCATGTCGAAATATACGTAAGGAGCACATGTCATATCAAAGTGTACGTATTCATAAATAACATACTCATGTAACATGCATGAGATCCCACTTTTTAAATTATATTACATGGTCATGTTGTACATAATACTTCCATACATCTCATGACGGACTTTTGTATGAGATATACGTGCTTCTACGTCTCCCTAACCACTTTATTAGAAAAGAAAAAATAAATAAATTTAAATGTGAATTAGAGAACCAGAAAAGGAGGTATACTTCTCTTGGAAAATATAATAGAATTTAATAAAATTACGCTCTCTCAAAAAATCCTATCAAACACTGGAAATGGTAATTTAAGAATTTGTTCTTTAAAACAATTTTCAAATAATTATAACTTTTTATTACGACAAATGAAGTATAAAATAAAGTATGCAGATTTGGAACTTTAATATAAAAAATGTTTAATCCATTTTATTTTTATATAAAAAATTATTAATGTCTAAAAAAAATTGCAAAAAAATAAATATTGGCTTTATTTTAAAGTTTATTGATCACCCAGGACAATATTTTTAGTGAATGATTATTTAATTTTCTCAAGTTTATTTGGAAAGGATGAGCCATGCATATATTTTGAGCAACTATTTATAAATTTATTAATCCTGATAAAAAAAAAATTATAAATACTTGGATTTTTTTGAAACAATAACTGCTATTAATCATATTTAATTGGTTGCGGGGTTTTTTGTTTATATTCTTCTTTTTTCAAGTTGTGGTTGGCATAATCTTAGGTGGCGGGGGTTTGGAATAAATTAGTTGGTGTGTTGTGTCACTAAATTAAAATTTTTGTTTTAGGCATTAAAGATAATTAAAATAATATTATTGACTTCTTGAATTCAGCCTTTCTCACATCGCTAGATTAATCTATCTCACACCTTAAAACAATGAAGTTAAGTATTGTAGATAGTTTACAATGGCAAACAGTGGTTGGACTAAATTATAAACAATTCAGCGGCGACCTAATTGTGACTACGACCACAGTCAGACGATGCTGCAATCAAGAACAATCCGAGGATGAGGAAGTGGAATCGACCATGGATTAAAAGCTAAATCCAACAATCTCACCCACCGCTATTCAATTGAAGGTGGTGCCAGCAATGGAGATGGACGAAGACAATTCTAATGCAAGGTTGAAATCAAAGAAGTGAACAGAGAAGTTGTTCTGTAAAATCATGAATCATGAGTAAAATACAAATGAAAAAGTTGTGTATAACAACTATTTTCCTTTGAGTATAATGATTTATTTGAACCCATGTAAAAATGTTTTTTAATGGAAAACTTTAAGCCTGAAGTTTCTAAATTTTTTTAGGGTATACAAATACTCATCTAAATTTGGAATGGAATTTCATTGGATCGAAATGCTTAAGCTAACAAAATTTACTTGAGACGATGATGGGAAATCAAGTGAGATAAGTTGTGTTTGCTTTACCATTTACAAAGAAAAATTGATCATATACATAATAATGTAGGAGGCAAAAACCAGAGCGGGAGGCGTACTCCGCGAAAAGATTCGGAGGCAGAATTGAAAGGCGTAAAGCTTGAACGTCATGTCCGGCACCAATCCCTTTTTCTCCTTTACGATTTTCCGTGTCCATTTTCTCGTCTCTCGAATTCGTTTCTGTTCTTCAATTTGATTGGCTTCTTCAACACGCAAGCCCCTCGTATAAGTACTTGCTGACGTTTTTGGGAATTGGGACATCTTTTTTCTCCGCCGATCGAAAATGGATGACGAGGTGGTCCAGCGGGTTCTCCAAGAAGGCAGAGATTTCTACCAAAAACAGCCCTCCACTTCCACCTCTTCCTCCTCCATCCTTCAATCACTGCCGCTACATGTGGTGTGTTTGATTAATCGCCTGAATTCTGGTTTTTGTTGACTTGTATGACTGTTTTGTTACTGATTCGAGCGAATTGGATTCGGATTTTTTCTTTGATTCTATTTTCGTATGGGGTGTTCTTGGTAATCTCGAAAATTCCACTTTTTTTTTTCTTTCTTTCTTATTATTATTTGTGTGTTTGTGTGTTTGTGTATACTGGTTTAGTGCTGTGCTGAATTGATGCTGGTTCTTCTTCATAATTTTCGTCATGCAAAACACATTGTAAACTGGTAACTTCGACTTTCTCGTTCACTTGGGGAGGAATTTTTTAACCTTTGACATTTTAGTTGAGCATATAGTATGTACCTAAATGAGATGAGTATGCGCAGGCTGGTTCTTTGTATTTATCCTCAACTATGTCTGTTTGTATCTCGCTGTCATACATTATTGGGGAAGGATAGTTCTGCTAATTCTGTGATTCCACTAATATGTATCTAATGATACACTCTGAAACCTTGTGAATGAGGTTAATCATTTCTGAATTGACATATGCAGTCTTTCGATCATGGATATTATCTATTAGTAAAATCCATCCAAGAACTTAGAGAGAAAAAAGATGGACTTGTAACAGTTGGAATTGGTGGTCCAAGCGGTTCTGGTAAAACCAGGTATAACATTTTTTTTCCTCTTCTTTTTCACCCTGGTGAGAAAACATTGGTTAGGGTTTACTTACCATCTTTCAATTGCTCTGATATGTCATGCTATGTGGTTTTGTTGAAGCTTAGCAGAGAAAGTGGCATCTGTAATTGGCTGTAATGTTATATCGATGGAAAACTATCGTGATGGAGTTGACGAGGGGAATGATTTGGATTCTATAGACTTTGATCTTTTAGTGCAGAATCTTGAGGTTTTTTTTTCTTTATTATTATTATTTTTTTATATGTCTGCCCAACTTGGCTCTATTAAATTTTTAATATTAGTTTCCAGAAACTTAATGTTTTAGAATGTCCCTACTTTTCCAGTCAATATTTATGAATGGGCTCTACAATTCTGTTCGCAGGATTTGACAAATGGAAAAGACACCATGATCCCAGTTTTTGACTTTCATCTGAAGAAACGGGTCAGTTCAAAAGTAATAAAGAGTGCTTCGTCTGGGGTGGTAAGTGGTGATTACTTTAGCTTGTGTGATGTATTGATTATTTTGGATTGATTTCTCTGCATTTTTTGTATAGGTAATCATCGATGGAACCTACGCATTACATGCAAAATTACGTTCTTTGCTAGATATTCGGGTTGCAGTGGTAACTTCTTATTCTATTCTTCATTTCTAATGTATGGGGTGAATGTGAATTTTTGTATGCAACTTTTTTTGAGAAGTTTCCAATCTACTGGTCACATGGATGTCTTCATATCAAAGATAAAATTATGATATAAGATTCACTAATGTGCTCTAGGGATGACTGTAGCCCTTTTGATGTTTCTTTTAGTAATAAGATGTTGAAGTAGCAGTTTATTGATTTATTTTTGGCAAATTAGGTTGGCGGAGTTCATTTTAACCTTCTCTTCAAAGTTCGGCATGATATTGGAGATTCCTGTTCATTGGATTACCTTATTGATAGCATATTTCCTTTGTTTAGAAAGCACATAGAGCCAGACCTCCATCATGCCCAGGTTGGTATATCGACTTATCTCTGTTATTGTATCTGAAACATCAGCTTTACAATTATATTTGTGTTTTAATATTGCAGATAAGAATTAACAACAGCTTTGTCTCATCATTTAGGGAAGCAATATACAAGCTGAAATGTAGAAGTGAGGTCTGTACTAATCCTTTTGGTTTATGCTTACAAAACCTATTTTTGTATAGCAAAGATGGGATTGATTATTCTACTGTTTTGCCCCCTAATCTTATGCAAAGGATGTTTTCATGTTTCGTTTTCCCATGGTATAAATTTGTTTTAGAGTAGTTTTGTCAAAAAATGAATGCTTTGATTTTGTCGTCATGCAAGATTAGCTTGATATTTTTTGAAAACTTTTTAATACATGTCAAGGAAGATACTTTGGCTTCACTTTAAACCAGAGGGCCTTCGAAGAGAAATCTTGTAGCCTCAAAGGCAATGGTATTGAATTCCTTGCGAATTCGAGTTTCGGCAATCATACCATCGCTTTCGAAAAAGCGTGTTCCTCAGTAAAGTGGCTTCAGCTCCTTCACCTCTCCAATAGGAATGGCTAAACTGATTGTCCCAGGAAGAAAGTTAATGAAAACAAAGGTCAACAATATCTTGGTTTAACAGAAGTTAGTCAAAATCTTACTTGTCTCTATCGTACTATGATTGCTATCTATTTATAAATAAACGGGTGAGTTGATGCTATGGTGGTGCCTGACCCTAGTTTCTTTTTTGTCATAGCTGAGGGAACAAATTTTTTTCCCAGGAGAAAAGGGCAACCTATCTGACTAATAAGAAAAAGGGGGTGAGATGGGCCTTTGGAAGAGGAACACAAACCTATTTACGCTTTGTCTCCATCTGATGTTTTCTCTCTAATTCTTCTTGTAATTATGATCTTGTCCATGTTGTGGTCAATCAGGAGCCCATTCTGTAACCCTTTGGCTTAGTGGGGATTTCTCATCTCCCATTCTGTAACCCTAAACCGTCTGTATATCTTTCGAGCATTATATGCTTGTTTGTTTCTTATAAATTCTTTTTTTTGGAATCTATGGCTTGAGAAGAACAGCAGAATTTCCAATAGTTTGGAAAATACTTTTTTTCCTTTTAATTCTGAAATTGTTTGGTTTCTTATAAAAAAATAGAATCTTAATAAATTCTTCGTACTTTCTAATATCCCGTAGAAA